CCTCCTGCTCAAAGTGAACCAGATCGGCTCCGTGACCGAATCTCTGCAGGCGTGCAAGCTGGCCCAGTCCAATGGGTGGGGTGTCATGGTGTCTCATTGCTGACCTGGTGGCGGGACCCTGCACTGGACAGATCAAGACTGGTGTGCCATGGCGATCTGAGCGCCTGGCCAAGTACAACCAGATCCTCAGAATTGAAGAGGAGCTGGGCAGCAAGGCCAAGTTCGCTGGCCAGAAGTTCAGAAATCCCCTCGCCAAGTAAGCTGGGAAGGCAGACCTCTGGTAGTCCCTCCCCCGAGCCTGTCGGTGTTCTCGCCGCTTCATTAGAGCTGCCCCCGCAGCCAAGCCTGTTGGAAACCCCAGCTTTGTGATCCTGTGACATCCCAACTCCTCACCCTTCTCGCAAGCTTCCCACCAAGTGTCTCAGTGTCATCCCGAGGTGTTAACAGGCAACATCCGCAGTGGTTTTGTTTGCAAAATAAACATCAGTGACCCTTAAAAAAATTATTGCACCATAATAAATGGAGAGAATATTGGAGCTGCCATTTATTAGCTGGCTCTAGTAGCTCTCTTGTCTATTCTTTAGGAGTTCCTATACATTTGCCCACTCGCTGCCATAGAGCCTATTCTGACTTATAGCAACCTCACAGGACAGAATAGAATCGCTCCATAAGGGTTTACACCATAAGGAGTCTGTCTCTACACTTAGGATCATGTAATCTACAAAAAGATAGTTTTACTTTTTCCCAATTTAGATGCCTTTGCCTAATTGCTCTTGCTAGAACTTCCTACTGAACAGTAGTGGTAAAAATAGGCATATTTGGGTTATTTCTAATGTGAAGGGGCAATCTTTCAGTATTTTATCATTGGGTATAATGTCAGCTTGTTGTTAGATGCCTTCTAGTCAGTTCCTGTATATAGCAATCCTATATACAAGAGAATGAAACACTACCCTGACTTGCACCAGCCTCACAATTATTTTGAGTCCTTTAGTGCAGTCACTGCATCACTTTATCTCTTTGAAGGCCTTCTTTTTGTTGACCTTCTATTTAGCAAGCATGGTATCTTTCTCCAGGGACTGGACTCTGCTGATAACATATCCAAAGTACTAGAAACAAAGTCTCACTAAGGAGGATTTTGGTTGCACTTCCTCCAAGACAGAGGCTTTTGTTCTTCTGGCAGTCCATGCCTATATTCAATATTCGTCACCAATACCATAATCCAAATATATCAATTCTTTTGCAGTATTCTTTATTCATTGTACCTGTCATATGTGTTTGTGGTGCTTGAAAATACACTGATTTGCATTAGGCATACTTCAGTGATCTAATTGATAGTCGCAGAGAGTTCTTTTTTGTTCTTTTCTTTTTTAAACATTTTATTAGGGGCTCATACAACTGTTATCGCAATCCATACACACATCAATTGTGTAAAGCGCAAAACATTTTCTCTCCACTTAAACCCCTGACATTAGGTCCTCATTTTTCCCCTCCCTCCCCGCTCCC